CTCCCAGGCCCAGGCTCCTGTGTCACTCTGCCTCGCTGGCTCTGATCGCTCTCAGGCCACGTGGAACAGATGGCTCCGTGTCTGCCCTTTGTGACTGGCTTATCAGCATGGTGGCCGCCCCCCTGCCCGGCTGACGGCTGCAGTGTGTCAGCGCGCCCTTCCTTCCCAGGTGGAAACCTCCCTGTCCTCCGCCCTCTCCGACCCTGCTTTCAGTTCTGTGACCACGTGGCAGTCCTGTTAAATGTACCAGGAGACGCAGGGGCACTTCTTTTTACTTTAGACAGGGTCTCACCGAGTTGCCCGGGGTGGCCTTGGCCTGTGGTCCTCCCGCCTCAGCCTCAGGTAGGTGTGCTGACAGCCACTGCAAAAACCAGGCCTGTCAATATTTTTTAAAAGGATCAAAGGCCACGTTGTCCTTGGTGGGGACAAATGAGGTTTTAGCCTTTTTTCTTCCCTTTTGTGTCTACAACTGGTAACTGATTTTGGTAATTCATTTTTTAGTATTTACTTTTGGGTTGTAGTTGCACACAATACCTTGACTTCATTAAGTGTTTTTTGTGGGGTGCCAGGGATCGAACCAGGGCTCTGCCCCTGCTGGGCGAGCGCCCTACCTCTGAGCCCCAGCCCAGCCCCTGGTCATTCTTTACAGTAGGGAAGAACTCACTGGAGTCCCCCACCTGCCAAAGGAGGACCTGGGCAGGGCGGGCAGCGAGCAGACACGGTCTCTGTGCCTGAGGAGCCTCTGGGGACTGGCCACCCTCCAGGATGGGGGCCACCTCAGTCCCTTCCTGCTTTGTTCATCCATTCAGTTCTCTCAGGGTCCCCTGCTCGTCAGCTGGCTGCTCCTCCCCATTCTGTGGGTGACACAGGTGTCAGACAGGACCCTTCTCCCCTAACCCTGGAGCGTCCACATCATCCTGTCCAGCTGTCAGGTGACTCCACCCCAGCTGGGCAGAGGTGCCGGCCCTGCCCTGCCCTGCCCTGCAGTGCCCCTCGGCTGGGGCCCCCCTGGATGGCCAGGGCTGCTCTCTGGAGCACACAAGGCGGACGGTCCCCTGTCGGGAGGGGGCTCCAGGACACTCCCACCGCCGGTCCCAGCGCTCCTCAGATGTCCCTCCCCAGCAGGACTCAGAGCCAAACGGGTTGTGGGGTGGGGGCAGATGGACCCACCGCCCACACCCCAGCCGCTCCCTCTTGGCATTGCACCCAGCCCCCACCTCAGCAAGTTCGGATCCCGCAGGAGAGGGGGCTGGGGTCCCTGGGGCAGATGGGCCATCTTGGTGAGCAGTGGGTAGAGAGGGCCSGGCTGGTGGACGGGGCCTCCTGGGATCCTTCCTGGCGGTGATTTCCTGGCAGGGTGCTGAGGCATGAAGAGGGCTCACCCTTAAGCCAAGGAGGGGAGGTATCCTGGGTAGCAGCACTGTTTGTCATGGGGTCCTCAATACCTGGTGAGGTGGCACCTGTGCTTCAAGGCTCCAGGGAGCCGGAGATGGGAGTCACCTGGGGCCTAGCCACGGTGACTGAAACCAGGTGGGGCAGGCCTACCCGCCTCCCGCCCTGGGCCTCTCACTTTCCTCAGGCTGCAGCTGGGAGGAGAGAGGCCCAGGGAGGGAGGGCCTGAGTCACAGTCCCTGGCTTGGGTCACATGACTCCGGCCCCCAGCCCCCAGGTTCCTGTGTGAGCAGCTCGGCCGGGGCAGTAGATGCCGGGTGCCCTGGCAATCCCAGGAGACTTCCTGGAGGAGGAGGAGAGCAGGGGTCCTCGCAGCAGGGGAACAGGAGACTTTCCTCAAGCCGCCCACAGGAAGAGGTGGAATCCCGCCCCAGGCACCCAGCCAGGCACCGTGACACACAGCTTCCTCACGGGCCCCAGATTGCCCTGCTGGTTGGGCGAGTGCCTGAGGGCTGGTCTCGTCACCACGGGGAAGTGACCTCACTCGGGAGTTTCAAAGAGGTGTCCCCATTCCACCCACTGCTGGGCTCCAGCACCAAGGGGCCAGGGAGCTGGACAGGACAGTGAGTGTCCAGGCCGGATGTTTGGGGACCCAGTCTGACCTGCCGCTGCCTGTGGTGGAGGCCCTCTGCCCAGGCTCTGTGAATCCCGGATGCAGCCCTCAGATAGACATTAGTAAACTTGGCTGGGACTGACGCTGCTGACCCCACCAAGTGAGGCAGAGCCAGCATGGCCCGTCCAGGTCTCAGCCACAGGGGCAAGAGACTGCAGGGGCGCAGAACGGGCCTCSGAATGCTGTGTGGTCCTGGCTGGGTTGCTTCACCTCTCTGAGTACCACTCCTGAGTACACATCTCCCTCTCCAGCACCTGCCTGGCCTAGAGCCCTGGCAGACATAGCTTCCGGGAGGCAGCCCAGATCCACACCAGGGCCCTGTGGCCAGCAGGAAGTTGGTGGGTCCTGGTCTCCAACTACTGAAGGACCTCTGGGCTCTGGCCTGTCAAACAGCCTGCGAGGCTCCCAAGGGCCTCACTCGGGTTCCTACACGGAGCTTTGCCTCCTCCGCATCCCAATCCCCAAGAGCCTGAGAAACAGGGTCCACAGTCCCCATGCTCCAGAGAGGGCCCTGAGGTGGCCCACCTGGGGCATGGGACGGGGCCTGGTGGCAGTGTGACCGTGCATGCTGCTGCTCCTGTTTGAGCATTTGCAAGGGGGTAACTGCTCCCAGGGTGTCACTGAGGTGGAGGTTGGCAGCAGCTCCCGAGGTCCTAAGCAGTGGGGGTCCTCGGGCTTCTGGGTGGGCCTGGCCTCAGCCTGCCCCGAGTCCACCAGGAGCCACACACCCCACCTGGTCTGGACTGTGAAGAGAACCGAGGGGCCTGGGCTGGGCTGGGCTGGCAGGAAGCTGGGAGAGGCCCCCACCAGGCCTCACGCCCTGCCCCACGCTGGTCCCTGTCCAGTGGGGGTGAGGTTCCCTGAGAGGGCAGGGCTCGGGCGAGAGGAGCAGGGGCCTCCGCAGCAAGCAGGGCGGCTTCTCGCACTCGCCTCCTGGGCGCCAGCGTCTCCCGAGCCAGGCCTTTTCACCTAGAGGGTAGAACACACACTTCAGGTGCTCCCTGGTAGTGGGTAGCGGCTGGGGATAGTGCCCAGCACACAGGTACCGCCTGGCCTTCGGGGTCTCCTCAGGACTTCCAGCAGAGTCCTCCAAGCTGTCCTCTCCGTCCCATGGTCCCCTGCCACCTATTCCCATGTGTGCCATGCCCCTGCTGGCACCTGCAGTGAAGTGGGTCTCCCCTCCCCTCTCCTCTGGGGTCCCAGCACCAGCCAGGCCCGTAGGTGCTCAAGCAACGCCAGGTGCCTGGGAGGCCCAGGGCCGAGGCTCCACTGGCTGGTTCTGGGAGGGGGAGATGAGCTGGGGGGCTCTGTTGGGTCTGGGGGTTCCAGGCAGGGCACTGGGCACCTGTGGACTTGTAGTGACTCTGCCTCTCGTCCCTTCCCCTACCTCCCACTTCCCAGAGGAGACTCTTGCCCAGCCTGTCTGCTCGCAGCCCATGACCTGCACAGGACAGAGCAGGACAGTGACCAGGCTGCTGGGGAAGGGCCCAGGGAGAGACCACTGAGGCCTCCCCTAGCATGATCCTGTGTTACCCCCGCCCACCTGCGGCTGACCAGTCAGCCGGCATGCCTGCAGGGAGGGGAGCTCACTCCCTATTAATGGAGGGTCCTGCGGGGGAATCTCTCCTCACCCACCCCTCTGGCCTGCTCACCCCACAGGTCACAGACCACGAGTCCTTATGCTGATGTTCTCCACAGGCCAGATCCTGGGCGCCCCACTCTGGGTCCACCCACCTGGCCCTCCCACACCTACCCCACCTGGCCATGCTCCTGGCCCTCTGTGCCTGCCCGGCTCCTTTAACTCCTCAAAGCGACCCTGAGGGCCGGATCCTGGACTGTGCTCTGGGAGGTTAAGGGGCTTGTCCAGGACACGCAGGGTGGGGCAGGGTGGGTCCAGGAACTTGGCTGTGTGCTCTGTTATCACTTCTGAACTTTGTAGTGTCCTGAACCAAGGGCCGGCCTTTCACTTTGTGCCAGTCTTGCAGAGGAGGAAGCTGGGGAGGCTGTTCCCAGCCTCAGTGTGGGACTTCCGGGCAGCACCCCTGCCAGGACTGCCCCTGGTGGGGGCCCTGGAACAGCCTGGCACCCCCACCCCCACCCCTGGGAACCGGGAGCTGGCCTTGGCTTCCTGCTCCTATTAAGCCCTTTAAAGGAAGAAGATAAATGACAGCCTGGCTGCCCGGCTGGGAGGCGATGACGCAGCCGCCCCCGTGGCCCCTGGCAGTCAGGCTGGTCCCTTGGGCATATCCCTGCCGGCCGCCACCCCCTATATCCCCCTGGCCTCTCTCCGGTCTGGGCTGCATTATCCCTGCCAGAGTCCTCTCCCAGCTGGGGACACACACACGGGCCCACGGAGGAGGGTAGCTGTCTTCCTCCTGCCGGTTGCTGACCCCTTCCCATGTGCTGCCTGAGCTAATAACGGTCACTGTCCCCATTTGACAGAAGGGAAAACAGGTTCAGGGGGAAGTCCAAGCGCAGTCCCTGGGTGCCAAGATGGTCAATAAGGCCTGCTGGGGCAGGGCCATTTTTGGAGAGCGTCTGGGGTGACCCCGAAAGCGACCTCGAGAGGCGCCGCGACCCAGAGCTCTGGAACGGCAGGGCCAGATCTCGGGTCGCCTGGGCGAATGGGTCCCAGGCCTACTGTCCCCCTTTCCGGACTAGTCCGGGGCCCGCGGGCGCTTCCCGGGCCTTCCCGGCGGTGAGTCACCGCGGGCACGGCCGGCTGCAGCGCATTCCTCCGCGGGGCCGGCGCCCGGGTGGGGTGGAGACCGCGAGTCACCCTACCGGGCCGGGCAGCTGGGACGTCAGSAGCAGGAGAGGCTGGGGCAGGGACGCGGAGGCCAGCCCCGGAAGGCCGGCGGGGTGGGCCCAGGGCGGGGCCTGCGGGGGCGTGACGCGGGGCGGGGCCTACATAAGCGCTGCGCCGGGCCGCGAGGCGCACAGCCGGCGCCGCCACCGCCACCGCCCGAGCGCTCGCCCGACATGAAGACCCCCGGCGAGGTGCTGCGCGAGGGCGAGCTGGAGAAGCGCAGCGACAGCCTGTTCCAGCTGTGGAAGAAGAAGCGCGGCGTGCTCACCCCCGACCGCCTGCGCCTCTTCCCCGCCGGGCCCGGCGCGCGCCCCAAGGAGCTGCGCTTCCACTCCATCCTCAAGGTGGACTGCGTGGAGCGCACGGGCAAGTACGTCTACTTCACCATCGTCACCACCGACCGCAAGGAGATCGACTTCCGCTGCGCCGGCGAGAGCTGCTGGAACGCGGCCATCACTCTGGCGCTTATCGACTTCCAGAACCGCCGCGCCCTGGAGGACTTCCGCAGCCGCCAGGAGCGCGCCGCGCCCGCCGCGCAGCCCGAGCCCGCCTCGGCCCGTGCGCCCTGAGCCCGCGCCGCGGTGAGTGTCGCCCGCGCGTTCCCGGCGGCGTCGGGCCGGGGTCTTCGGGGAGCCCTCGGGGTGTGGGCCGTGACCCTCAGCCGGAGACCCGCGCCCTTGGGAAAACTCCAACTTCCGATTCCGGAGGGAGGTTTTGCTACCTTAGGGACTTGGCACCGCACAACCACGGCGTGTCGGGTGCGCGGCAGGAGCCGTTCCTTGCCCCACTCGCGTCAGGATCTCGGGGACCCACAAGCTGCGCCCCGAGTCGCTCTGGCACGCCTGCCTGACCCAGCCCTCTCCCCACAGAGCCACACCGGACCAGTCTGGCCGAACCGGCCGCATGGCCGTGTTGAGCAGGAGCCCAAGGGGTGCCCGGGACGGCGGGAGCTCGGGCGGGCGGTACACCGCTGACCACGCGAGGACAAGGCGCCGCTTTCCTGCCCCATAGAGGAGGACGTTCCCGTGCGTGCGGAACCTCGCCCCGCTGCGCGGGCGCATTAACTTATTGGACTATCTATATATTTATTTTGATGTTATTTGTTGTCAAACGTTCTGTCTTTAATATTTTGTTTTTGCAACCATGTGCCCATTCCAAATAAATGACATGACTTATTCTTTTTCTACCAGCCAGTCTGGGCAGTTTCCTGCTGGGAGGGTGGAGGGAAGGCTGCAGTCCCAGCCCCGGCCAGCCAGAAGACAGGAAAGTAGCTTTGAATGAACATTGTCATTGCTGGGTGGGGTCCAAAGCCTCCCCAGAGGCCAGGAAATGCCTTGGGTGTGGCCCTGGCTCCCCTCTACTCCTGGGTGTGGTGTGAGGACAAGCCTGGTGGCACTGCCTGTCCCCAAAGCCAGTGCACCTCCCCCAGACCTGAGCTGCTGCTGTACAGGGAGGGGCGGCTGTCCTCAACTGCCTCCTCTTGCCCACACACCACCTGTCCAGTGGCCAGCCAACAGGAAGGCCTTCTGGCTGCCTGCCCCAAGGCACTCCTCTTGACCCCACCCTGGGCTGGACCATGATGGCTCTAGAGTCCAGCTGCCAGTCCTCCTGACCAGTGCCTGAGACATGGGGCCAGCAGGTGGGGATCGTGTTCCCAGGCCATCTCCGAGGTGGGGCAGGGTGGCCCAGGACTGACTTGGGTGGGAGCCCTGAGAGCTCCCTCGCAGGGATACCTGTGGAGCTGTAACTCCTCCCTCTGCACCTGGCTGTGTCCTCTATGAAATAGACGCAGAGAATCGGTGTCACCTGGCCCCTGGCGGGCAGGGCACAGGAAGTGGGTCACCCCCCCCCCATAAGATCAATGGGTAGAGGAAGAGGGAAGAGACGCCAGCTGTTCCCAGGCTGGGGGGCTGCCTGGTGAAGGGCAGGGTGAGGGAGTGGAGGACCAGAACTGAGCCCTAAGGCTTGCCGCTGGCTGACCCTCCRTGTGGGAGGGTCTCAGGCTTCTCAGGGGACCAGAACTAGGGAGGGGCTGTCCGTTTGCTGAGTGGCCTGCAAGAGTCTTGGGTGCTGGCTCCAGAGAGGAAATTATTATTCCTGATGAGGAATTTTCTCCTGAGTATTTCTTTGGGAGGAGTTCCGAAGAGCTAGCAAGAGCACAGGGACCTCGCCATGACTGTGTCCCAGCCCCCAAGATGTCTCCCACACAGCCTCACCTGGAGGAGTGACCAGGCTCAGGAGGCGAGCCCTGTGCGGGGCAGGGTTCAGGCAGGCACAGGGTCCAGCTGGGAGTGGGTGATCTTGGCTCTCTTGGAATTCTGAGGTTCAGGTTTTCATGGCTTTTTTTCAAAAGCCCGTGGGACAGTGGGCCTGGATGGTCTCAGCCTCTCAGCCTCCTGTCCTGGGGGTGGTCTTCAGATTGGTCAGCTGGTCTCCACAGCAGCGCTGGCCTCCCCACACCAATGCCTGTTATCCCAGGAGGTGTGGGGCAGGTGGTGAGAGTGGGAGGTGCTGTTCCCTTGGTCTCTCCCTCCTGGCCTAGGGCAAGCGGCCAGGAATGCCCCCCAGTGGGGGTCTTGGGGAGATGGGCTAGCCCGGCGTCTGTGGTGAGTTCCGGAGCTGGGGGAATCGGGGGGCTCCCTAACATATCCTTTCCAAGACTTGGTTCCTTGATCTTTTCTTTTTTAAACTTTTTTTTGCCTACTATGTGTACTCAAATACCCCCCAAGTACCCCTGTTCTGCAGGGCTGGATGTAGTTACTTCTGTCCAAGTGCAGTGCTCTGGAAAATTAGGTGTGTGGGTTTTTTGTTTTTTTGGTACAAGGGATGGAACCTGTGGGTGCTTTACCCCTCAGCTACATCTCCAACCATTTTTTATTTTTGAGACAGCGTCTCAGTAAGTTGCTTAGGGCCTCACTAAGTTGCTGAGGCTGGCCTCGACCTTGTGATCCTCCTGCTTCAGCCTCCCAAGCCACGGGGACAGATGTGCACCTCTGTGCCTGGCATTCTTCCCTCTAAGCCCACTCACTTGAGCTCCTGGTGCTACACTGCAGGCCGGGTGGGCGGAGAGCTCCCTGCCTCTGGGAAATGGGAGCCGGCTGAGCCGCCGCAGGGCATTCCCCGCCGGCTGCGCTGGTGGACTCCATGGCTGGACGAATGCCCCGGGAGGAACTGGGGTTACCCTGTGCCTGGAACTCGGGGGTCAGCTGCAGGCCCCTCCCCTGGGCAGCATTTCGGCTTCTGAAGCCCCCCTGGCTCGCCCCCCACTTCCGCTGACAGACGCAGGCGGGAGCCTACAGGAATCAGGCCATAAGGAGGTCCCAGGAAAGTTTATTGTCGGGGCTGGTCACCAGGCTTTGTCCCTTTTGTGTGTCATGGGCTTCCTCCAGAGGACCAGGAGGAGGAAGAAGTTGACAGCAAACTGCACATGGCCAAAGATGGGGACGCCAAAGCTGCGGTACAGGAGGCCACCCAGAGTGGGCCCCAGGGTGCGGGTCAGTGGCTGCACGGAGGCACAGAGGCCCAGCATGGTCCCTGGGGAAAGAGGAGACAGCCGTCACGCTCTGAGCAGGTCCCTGGACAGGCACATCACTGCCTGGACACAGCCCACTCCTGTCCCCAGACACTCCTAGCTCCACGCCCAGCCAGTGTCCACACAGCACAGGAGGCCTGGGATACCCCGTGTCACCCGCCCTGCGCCTCCACCCGCTCCTCACCTCCACCCCGGCCTGTGGACCCCAGGGGCCTCACAGGTGCCTCCCCAGATGTGGGGCTGAGTCTTCTCTACTCGAGAAAGTTCCCTGGTGCGGGAGGAGCTGAGGATGGGCCCCAGGTCAGGTGCAGGCTCCACCCCCCAGGCCTGCCCAGGGGGACGGCATCCACCTGGCCAGCCCCGCCCAGAACATCCGGGAGCTTCTCACCRCTCTTTCCCAGGCCCTGGGCTGCCGGGCCAGGCTCACTGGTGGCTGGAGTGGGCCGAGGGGGCTGGCTGGGCAGGGCCTTTTAAGACACCATGGGGCTCCGGGGCAGGGTTCTGGGTGGGCACAACACCCCAGCGCCATCCCACAGCCCCTCCTGACTGTCGGCCTCTTCTCCCACTGTCCGCCCCCAGGAATCTCCTAGACACCCTGTGGACTTCCCTTGGGGCAGGGGAGGGACTTCAGGGAGTGCAGCAGGACCCAGGGACCATGAGCACCCTTCTTGCTCCCCCCCCAGCCCCCACCTGAGCAGCCAGCTCTTTCACCAGTTGCCAGGTCTCCAGGCCCTCTGGGCGCTGCCCTGGTGTGGACATGCCTAGGAAGGCTGCTGTCCACCCTCCGACAGCATTCGGCCCCCGAAGCTCCCCTCCCAGCCTGCAGGGTCCCGGGTCCCGGGTCCCAGTCCTCTCCCCACTGCCCGGAGGGGCTCTGGCCCTGGGCTTCTGCACCCAGGCCCCTTGGGGTTCAGCCTGTGGAGGCCCCCCCCCCACCCTGGGCCTGGCGTGGGGAAATGTCAGAGTGCCCTCTCCCACTGCCCACGACGCCCAGACACCAGGGCAATTACCGCCTCCCTGCGGCTCAGTTCCCAGGCTGCTGCTGGGCCTGGTCCTACTCCTTTCAAGCCAAAGGTGGTGTTGCTGGCATGACGTGGCCCTGGTGGCCTGGCCTGCTCCTCCCTTCCAGGCCCTGCCCTCCTCTCTCCAGCCTTAGTCACCTTCTCCTTGGGGCCTCTCCCATGGCCACCTCCTCCAGGAAGCCCTCCTGGTCCCGCTGTTTGGAGACCGGCTCTCCCAGCACCATGGCTTCGCAGGCCTGGAAGGGCTTGGAGGCCCAGGAAGCCTGGAGGAGAGGGCTGTCCCTGTCTTCCCTTCTTGGGCAGTTGGTCAGCTGAAGGCCAGTCCAGCCCTCAAGCTTTCTGGCCCTGCGACTGGGAATGCCTGGAAGGAGCCCAAGCCTAGCACAGCCCGCTCACAGGAGCACCCTGAACCAGCCAGCATGGGCCTGCTCTGTGCCAGCTCAGGGCAGGGCAAAGCCTGGCCCAGGACTCCTGGCCCCCAGAAGGACAGCTGGGTCCAGAGGGGCCTGGGAGAGTCCTGGGTTCACTAGCTGTGCCCACTCAGGAAGCCTGGAGGAGCCCTGGACAGGGAGGGCGGCCAGGCCCTCCTGGGCTCTGCTCTCCTGGCCCCCCCCATTTCCGTCCCCAGGCGGGCCTCCTGACTGGCTGGCAGGGCCTCTGGGTCCACCCCTCCGCACACGCCCTGCCTGGAGTGCAGCCACCCGCCTCCTTCAGTGGGATCCTGCCCGTGTGTCTGAGCCGGGCTGAGCCAAGCCGTCCCCCACGCCCCCAGCTGGGCCCGGGCTGGTCAGCAGGGCCCGGTGCCAGGCTGGGTGTGGGCAAGATTCTCACCTGATCCCTCTTGCTGCCACCCCCTCAGGTCCCAGGCTGCCTGGTCCACTGCCCACCCACTGGGCAGCTCGGCAGCCTCCCAGGGAGGAGGGCCTGCCCGCCCCTCCCCCGATGGCCCCCTGCCCCCCCCCCCCCCGCAACATCACCTGTGTCTGAGGCCGAGACAGCCTTGGTCAGCATGCTGTCGGTGACCACGTTGAGGGTGCAGAGGCTGAAGACCAGGCCAGGCACCAGGAAGCAGAAGTGGAGGACAGTGGACATCAGTGCCTAGCAGAGGCAGGAGTCAGGGTCACACTGAGCGGGGGCTGCCCAGGTGGGCCCTCGCTGAGGATGCACCTGCTCCTCTCCGCCCTGACTGCTGCCCCCTAGAGCTGGGCTGGGGAAGAGGGGGCCAGAGGGCCAGCATGACATGGCTAGAGACAGACCCTGGGGCTCGGGCACAGACCGGGCACCAGGAGTGGCCTTGCCCAGTGCAGAGGGGCGGAGAATTGGCCTGGGACCCCCTATGGTGTGGGGAAATCCAACGTGGGCGCTCTTACCATGGCCAGTCCCACCACCATGAAGACCAGCACGCTGGCCCGGAGCAGGGCTTCCTCGGAGAAGTGACTGCTTAGCCGCCCGATGACCAGGCCCTGGACCACCTAGGCAGGGTGAGGGCAGAGGCGGACATGGGAGAGGGCCAGAGGATCTGGACCAGGGCCTAAGCTCTCACGTCAGGGCACCCCAGGCGGCTGGGCATCATTCTCAGAAACGGCCCCTCACCATCTGAAGGGG